TGGAATGGACTACCCTGTCTGAATTAAGTAATGTGTCTAATGAGTTAAAATTTATAAAAGCCTTGGAGAATGTGTCTCATTTCACAGTACTGAAAACATTTCCTAAACTGTAAATCATGGTTTTCAAAGAGCTTTATAATAGTTCAACCTATAGATGCACTATAATTTACCGTCTTTTATTAAAGATGTTTGGATTGTTGGTTATTTCTGTTTTTTTCAGTGTTATAGAAAATGTATAAAAGAAAAACATACAATGATGATGTTCACTGCGAATCTCCAAATATATCATTGGGATACTTTTAAAATTATATTTATTGAGTCACATGTGATATTTTTTGTTTGGAGTTTCTGATACATGGTACCAAATTGCTCTACTGGAAAGTTATACCTATGTGAATTTCTGCCAACAGTGCCACTTCCTCACATTCTAATCAACAGGGAGTGCTTTTATAGTCTGTGCCAATTTAGTATACCGAAAGATGATATATAATTTCTATTTACATTTATTATAACCAGAATTGAATTTTTGCACATTTATTGAGACTCTGTGTTTCTGTGAGGGAGGGCAGGGAGAGGGGGAGAGAGAGAGTGTGTGTATGTGTGTGTAACTTGTTCATGTTATTTGTCCTCTTTTCCAAAAATCAGTTACTCCTCCTTCCTCCATTAACTCAGAATAAATGTAGTCAGAAGATAAACTTTAAGAATAATGGAAGGTGTTATTCCTTTGTTCATTAGTGTCCCTTAAAGAGGTAGCACTATGCAAAGAAATATCAGGACATCTATGTGCAAGTTCCAAACTCTTCCGTTTAACACAGTAGCCTTAGATAAATTATCTAACTTGAATTTGTAGTCATAAGGTAAGCACATTGGATTTGATGATTCAGTAATTCTTTATATACTCTGCTTGTTTTCAAAAAGGGTATTCCTCTGATTTTCTCTGTTTTCAAAAAGGATATTCCTCTGATTTCCTCTAAGTTGTAGACTTCCTTAAGTTTGAATACTTCCTTAAAATTTTTTGCTTTTTCACAAGTTATAGCACTGTGCCACTCACCCTGTTGTACATATAAAGGGAAGTGTGCTTTGGTTACAGCTTTTCTGATATTGATCACTGCTGTGCTCTGTTTCATCTAGCCAAGGAAATGATTACAAAGTTTGATTTTTAATAGCATTTATTAATCCTTAGTCTACTTTTGACCTGGTAGAAGGGAACTATCTATATATTCCAGGCTGCAGGAAGCTACTGTTTTTTTTAAATTTTATTTTTTATTCTAATTTGTTATATATGACTGCAGAATATATTACAATTCATATTACACATATACAGCACAATTTTTCATATCTCTGGTTATATACAAAGTATATTCACACCTTTCTTGTCTTCATATATGTACTTAGGGTAATGATGTCTATGCCATTCCACCATCTTTTTTATACCCCTTGCCCCCTCCTTTCCCCTCCCATCTTCCCATGCTCTCCCTCCCAACACCACTATGAATCAGCCTCCTTATATCAGAGCAAACATTTGGCATTTGGTTTTTTGGAATTGGCTAATTTCACTTAGCATTATATTCTCCAACTCCGTCCATTTACCTACAAATGTCATGATTTTATTCTCTTTTATTGCTGAGTAATATTTCATTGTGTATATATACCACATTTTTTTTTTATCCATTCACCTATTGAGGGGTATCTAGATTGGAAGAACCTGCTCTTTATCATTACTATTTTTTCTTTCCTTTTGTCACTTGAATACCTATTTGTTATGAAAGAGAAAAAGATAATTGATATGTAAATCATGCCTCCAAGAAATTTGTCATTCACTTGGGGAGAGAAGATGTATATGTAAATAATTAGAATACCAAAAGGAAAGTGATACCTGAAAGTAATTATAGAGATGGGTTGTAGATATTCAGAGGTGGGATTGTGAGCCTAAGCATGCTTCTTCCAAGTAGCTTTACCTGCTGAATCAGAACCTGTACTGTATACTTACCCAGGTAACTCAAATGTACTTTAAAAAGTTTGAGAAGTATCGTTGTAGATGTTTGTAAGAAACAAATTAGTTCTCAGTGGAGGGTAGAGCAACTTTTTTGAAAGAGACGAATTTCAGTATTGACTTGAAGGGTTAATTGATTGGTTAATTTTTAAATATGAATGGAATGAAAAACAAGGGCTATCTGTGAAATATTTTACGTGAATACTTTTTGTTTTGTTTTGTTTTTGTAACAAAGTCTTCCTATCTGGTTTGCTGACATGGCTAAATATAAGAATTGGTTCTAAAGAAGCTGGCAAACCCTTTGCCCAACTTCCATAACAGTTATCAATTTAGCAAAAATAAGAATCCTGGTTTTTAGTGAATTGTCATCATCATCAGATTAACAGGGGATAGGAAAAAAGCCACTTCCAGTGAGTCTTGCCTGTGATGCCATGGGCCTCAGGTCAAATCATTCTGTAACTGCTTTGTAATTCCTCAGTGATATTGTGGTCAGAATCTCTATGATTTCTCTAGCCTTATGATTATGTCATTATGTAGAACCTTGAGCATTGTACTGAACTCTAATTTTAAAAGTTGCTTGAATTTGTAGACATTAACATTACTAATACAAAAAAGAAAGAGGAAATCATCTCAAAAAAACTTCCTAGTATTTGAACTAGAGAAAACTAGGCTGAGGCTGGGGTTATAGCTCAGTGGTAGAGCACTTTCCTAGCACCACATTCTCCACCACATAAATAAATAAACAAACAAACAAATAAGATATTGTGTCCATTTACAACTAAAAAAAAATTTTTTTTAAAAACTAGGCTGAATATTAGAGTGCCAGTGATTTTTCCATTTCTTCTTCAAGATTGTCACAGTCTGATAGTAGGACCTTTAGTAATTGTATTTAACAAGTCTTTGAGAATCAGAAGAGTTTTTGACCTTGGAAAAAGAGTTGGAACCCTTTTTATTTTTTTAGAAGACTATCACTTCTCAGTTATCTATTGGGAATGAACATAAGAACATGAATGGGTGATGTGCACTAATAATGACTGAAGTTATACTTGTCTAAAGTTGTCCTATAAATTTAAATTCACTTAAATTAAATAAAAGTTCCATTCCTCAGTCACAGTAGCTACATTTGGAGTACATAATCTGGCACGTCTAGTGTATGAAGGTGCACATTATGGATCGTGGAATGTATTTTATCATCCCAGAAAGTGCCATCCACAGGAAGTGAATAGTGCTGTTCTAGAGCAAGATAAAGTGAGCTAAAGAATGAGGAAAATTACTCCAGTAGTGTTTCAAAGCTTTGAGGAATGTATATCTTGTTCGTTCATGGGACAGCAGTAATCTGGAAAATGTCAGTCATCTTGTCAGTGAAATAGATTTGGATTTCCGTGTCCTAGTGGTTAGGGAGGCATCAGTTAAAATTTGAAAATAAGAATTTGAGTCTTAGTGTTCATTTTCTTATACACCTTCCCTCTCCTCCCCACACCTTTTACTGGTGATCTAACTGAGGGCCTCCTGTGTGCTAGGCAAACACTCATCCTTAGCACTTTTTATTTTGTTATAATACAAGATCTCACTAAGTTGCCCATACCGACTTTGAATTGGTGATCCTCATGCCTGTCTCCCAAGTTGCTGGGATTACAAGTGTGCCTTCTAATGCCCAGATCTTATTATTTACAAGGTCATTTAGGCAATTTCCCTCTGGAGGATTTGTTTTCTTAGCTGAGTGTAAAGTAGGGTTGAATAGACTGTTTCTCTCAACACTAATGGAATGTGACTGACTTTGGGATTTGAAGGTCTGCAATTTGGTGAAATCCCACTTGAGGGGATTTCATCTCATCATACTTTAAAAGATGCTTTAGGAGAAAGTTTACTGAATAAGAACATATCTACATTGTAGTTAGTAAAATTACCTGTAAAAATATGGCCTGTTGATGTTTTTAAGGGTTTGCCTTGGATATCAGCAGTGTTTCTCTACTATATTAAAATATCATTCTGCGTGTGACTGGGCAGTGAGGTGTCACACTTGAAGTGTGAAAAACACTATTGTGATCACTTAAGATTTTAAACCAAGAGTTCCTTATGTTTTTCTGTTAATGATATGCTTTCATGATACAGAAAAGCATAATAAAGACGTGCATATACCAACTGATGATAGCATTTTAGTATATAGCCTTCTACATTTTTTGGTGCATATTTGAATGGATTTCTAATAGTTATATATGTTGAACAATATAAGATTAGGCTCTTGTTCATTCCTGGTGGAGAGAGGTAGATATTAGTTCATGGGAATATAGACAGAAAAGATATCACTTGTACGTGTACTTGTACTCCTACCACTTGGAAGTGACTACTAGCCTGGCATTGTACCTCAGAGTTACTTGATCTTGAGCTTCCATTTTCTAAGTGTAAGATGGGGATAAAGACCTCTTCTACAAAGTTGTAAATGTATCTATAGTACATCTGAGGAAATTCTTCTGGTATCTGCTACATAGTAGGTGGTGAGTAAATGTTAGGATTAGGGGAATCAGCAAATGAGTAGATGATTAAAAATATTTTTCAAGTTGCCCATCCAGTCATATTGAAATTGTGTACACTGAAGTATTGAGCTCACAAGACTAGTTTTCATCCACTGTGGTCTTCTGATTCTACTGTTAACTGACAGAAGCAGCTTAAAAATGGGACAGTAAGTGAATAAATGATCTACTTAACTCTGTTTTATAACTATACCTAATTAGTATTGTACTTATTCATTGTATAATTATGAAACTAGTTTAATGGAGGTAATTGTGTTTTGTTGAAGAGTCCACTGGTTTTAGGATTTTAAAAGGCCTGGGGTTGGGGATGTGGCTCAAATGGTAGTGTGCTCGCCTAGCATGCGTGAGGCACTGGGTTCGATTCTCAGCATCACATAGAAACAAAATAAAGATACTGTGTTCACCTAAACTTTTATATATATACATATACATATACATACATATATACATATATACATATATATATAAAGGCCTGGATACTTACCTAGCAGGGGAGATACCATGATCATAAAGGTGGTTTTCCCAGGGTGAATCTCATCCATTGCACTCTGGATGTTCTGACCCCAGAGGCTTCCCCCAATGTGGGAAACTCAATTGCATAATTTGTGGTAGTGGGAGAATTCATTCAAGGTTTCCCCAGTTAAAAGAAGAAGAAAAAAAAATACTTGGGTTTGAACCCTGTTCTGCCACTAATTTGGATAAGTCACTTAGCTTATTTGGATCTTATTCATTTAACAAATATTTTGCTTTTACTATATGCTAGACACTACAAAATTTTGATTTTCTTATTTGTAAAATAGGAGTATGATTCCTCTTTCAGCCTCAGAGTTTCTATGATGATGCAGAGATATCAAATTGATGTTAATAATATGTTTGTAAACTATAAAAATAGTTTATTATTAGCAATTTATTTGCTTTTGTATTAAAAGCAGAAAAGCATATCAAGTTGGATCTTTATTTCTATCAATCATAATTACCTTTATCACTATTTTGATAAAATCAGGGAAAGTGACAAGTTGATAAGCACTTTAAGAAACCACCACTATTTGGAATCAGACTTTTAAAATAAAAATCATCATCCATTTATTCATTTCAGAGGGTCAAAAGAGAGTACAGTGGGCTGGGGTTGTGGCTCAGTGGTAGAGTACTTGCCTGGCATGCATGAGACACTGGGTTCGATCCTCAGCACTTCATATAAACATGCTGCATGCTTCAAATACATATTTATTATTTGGATTCTTTCTCTAGAAGGCTAATTGTATAATATACATCTGTCTCAGGGAGAGTTGATGCATTATAGAAGTAGTTCTAGGATGTGGATTTCCAGGATTATTAATAATACTAGAAGGTAGAGAGACTTTAAAGCTAGAAAGACTTGCTTCATTTCTGGCTCTCTCTCTTTTTTAGCTGTATGATATTAGACAATTTTCCTTCTCTTTCTGAGCCTCAGTTTTTCTGACTTAAAAGTGGAGCTAATTATTTGCAAGGCTGTAATATTAAGATACATGTCCACAGAGTACTACATTGCATTGTGTCTGGTATATAGGAGATGTTTGTTTTGTAAAGTATTGGGTAGAGAAGAGCAGTGTACTGGACAAATGGAGTCACTGTGAAATGGAGAAAGTATGATGTACGTGGCTAGCGCTTGTGCTGACCATCCTTTTGTGACTGTACTGTCTTTTTAAAAAATATATATATTTGTAGTTGTTGATGGACTTTTTATTTTATTCACTAATTTATATGTGGTGCTGAGAATCAAACCCAGTGCCTCATGCATGCCGGGCAAGCACTCTACCACTGAGCCACAACCCTAGCCCAACTGTACTCTCTTTTGACCCTCTGAAATGAATAAATGGATGATGCTTTTTATTTTAAAAGTCTGATTCCAAATAGTAGTGGTTTCTTAAAGTGCTTATCAACTTGTCACTTTCCCCTAGTTTTTATCAAAATAGTGACAAAGGTAATTATGATTGATAGAAATAAAGATCCAACTTGATATGCTTTTCTGCTTTTAATACAAAAGCAAATAAATTTCTATAAGTGGTATGGTGAAAGTGGGGAAGTAAGCTTTTGCTCTTGCTATTTGAAAGGTATCATTAGTTTCATATTTCTAGAAAAGCATCATTTCTATTACTTTGAGCATTCAAAAACTATATCTCTGACTTGTAATTGACTAGATATGGAAAATGATGATGATTCTTAGAAATATATAATCTTTCTCCAGTAAGGGAAGAGTAGATTATTACTACAGACTTTAGGTCACTGAAAATATGAAAAAATAAATTCCTATATGTGTAAGTGTGGAAGATTCCAAATTTCTGGTATATAGCTTTATTTGCTCTGATAAGTCTGACTTACATGCACAGTATTTAGCCCTTAAACATTGCTTCCAATAGATTGTAAATTTATTTACACAGAAAGCATGTGTAATATTTACTACTTTTAGTAAGTTTTGGCCATAAGCCAAATCTGTTATAACAGATCTTTTGAAATTTGGATACTGTGATGAAAGTATTTAGTGAGAATCCATTGGCAGATGAAATAATTTATGATGGGCATTTCAGTTTAGATTAAGAAAAGTTAATTGTATGGTTTTACTTTTCTAAAGTAAATTTTCTAATCTCATAATACTTAAACCTTTCATTATTGGAAAGATCAGGAATTGGTTGGAAGAGAGGGAAAATTGTATTTTCCAGTCCACAGTTAAGAAGAACTCCTTGGTACACAATGGTTATTATCTTCAACAAAAGAGTGATTTAAAACATAACAATATGGGGCTGGGGTTATGGCTCAGCGGTAGAGTGCTTGCCTCATACGTGTGAGGCCCTGGGTTCAATCCTCAGTACCACATAAAAATAAATAAGTGAAATAAAAGTATTATAAAAAATAATAATAATAAAATAAAATATGGGTCATTGACTTATCACTATCTACCTTGAAAAACAAACAAAAAACCATAACAACATGAATATTCAAGAAATAGCTTTTAATTCTGAGAAGTATCCAGTGTTGTGTCGTGTCATGCAGCAAAATAATCAGATTTACATTGCACATAAGGCTCCTGTGTTTGATGTCTTTCTAGCTTACTTTATTTGGGGAATACTCATTTGTGCAGTAGTATCTAGCTTTCCTGGGTCATCCACTTCTAATGCAAGTGGATTGTGGTATTTGAGGAAACTAGCAGAGAGCTTTTTTATATTTCCATATAAGTAGTTAGTTAATAAAGATTCCTGAATATTGTGAAGATAGTATAAAAGATGTTTTCTGAGTGGCCTTAAATGCACTTTTATTTGTGTTGTTTAAAGGCTTTTTAAGGTTTAAGAAAGGCATAAGGGTGTCTTTAGGGTACATTTTCTTTTAAGAGAAAGCAGAGTTCTTGTTTTCAAAGTTTATTGACTCATTGTCAGGGACTGGGATAGTTTATATCAATAAATTATATTAGGTAATTAAAACCAGTACCAATAAAAGAAACCAAATGTGTGTGTAAATATAATTTTTTTCTTTTTTTGGTATTGGGGGTTGAACCCAGGGGCACTTAACTGCTGAGCCACGTCCCCAGTCCTTTTTAAATATTTTATTTAGAGACAGGTCTCACTGAGTTGCTTAGGGCCTCTCTAAGTTGCTGAGGCTGGCTTTGAACTCGCAATCCTCCTGCCTCAGCCTCCTGAGCTGCTGGTATTACAGGTGTGTGCCACCATGCCTGGCATAACTTTTTTTTTTTTAAATGGAAATCATTAAAAAATAATGGGAAGCATTTCTCTTTAAATATAAATATAGATGCTGAAATTATATTTGTTAGTACTTTTGCTGTAAGTCTGGAATGACACCTTTTATCAAGGATGAATAGTTTCATCTGTTGAGGATAGGCAGAGCCTATGTGACTGTGTTTGCTTTGCATCTGTGAAAACTTTTAAGTTTGTAAATTGAAAGTTTGTAAGTAGAGGACCCTCTTTCTCTTCCTGGAGGCTATAATTTTTCTGTTAAGATATTTTTTCTTACATATTTCTAAGAACTTTACAGTTCAGGAAAATTATTCCCCTTCATATGTTTTTTCAATTTCTTTTCTCTTTTTTGTTTATTCTATTTTTTTTACAGCATTTTTATAGAGTGTGCTCATACATGTATGTTTAACCTTTTATTTTTGGATTATAAATATTAGAAAGACCTTCCTCATTGTAAGGTGTAGAAGTAATTCTCACATGTTGTAGGGATGAGCATAATTTTCCTATTTATCAGTAAGTGAAATTATTGCAGCAATTTCAGTGAACATTTTGCTTTTAGTAATTCAAACAACAGTTTTCATATAAGAAGTCTATAGTCTTCTAAATGGATCACTTAGTCAAATAAGTATCAAATGTGAAGCCTACAAAAATATGTAATTTATAATTTTTTTTCTGTATCCTGAAATGTAAAGAGAACATTAAAATAGAATCAGAAACTTTAGAGATTACTCAGCAATAAATTATCTGTTTACTGCTTAACTCATCTCACTTTCCTATTCAGTTCTTTAGCCCCCATTATCCTCTTATAGTCTCTGCTTTCTTTAGGTCAGAATAGTAGTTATTCACAATTACAAACTTGAAGGGGGTAATAGTTTATCTAGCTGTAGAATATTCTCCCCTTCTACTTTATGCATGGCAGTCCTTGACAACTATGTTCTTGACAAACGGCAGAATGGCCATTTGTCTTCAGGTTGAAAACTTGCTACAATAGAGGTCTTACAGGAAAATCCAATCTGTTGTAAAGTCATGCCACTAGAAAGTTTTGCCTCACAGAGCTGAACACATTCACCTTTCTCTTCTACATGTTGATCACAGCTCTACCAGTAGAGCTCACCAAGAACCTATCCACCAATTCTTGTACAGGCTCATGACATCCTCAGATGAGAACCCTTGGGGATGGAAGCACTGAGCCAAGTAGGGCCTACAGGAAATTGATGACACATCTTGCCCTTTAAGAGCTTATAGTCTACCTATAGAGAGTTTCATGATGAAGCAAAAAAAAAAAAAAAGACATGCCACAAGTACTGTAAAGTTTCTTTCTAGAAAGCATTCTAGAAGAATTAGTGCAGAAAAAGGGCAGAGAACACTGACTAGGTTAGATGAATAGAGTTGTTTCTATGAATGAAGTTAAGTGATTAAGACTGGCTCTGGAAGTTCAAGTTGTATATCATTGGAAGATAAAGTTCTGGTAGGTTAGGGCCAAAATGTAAAGAGCTGTGGACTTGTCCTCCAGTGAGCTGCCTTAGAAATTTGGTTATAGGGAGCTAACATAGTCCAGGGTTTTTTTTTTTTTTAATTTTTAATTAAATATTTTTTTATACCAGGGATTAACACAGCCATTTAACCACTGAGCCATACCTCCAGCACCCCACCCCTCTTTTGAGACAGGGTTTCACTAAGTTGCTGACACTAGTATTGAACTTGCTATCCTCCTGCCTCAGCTTCCTGAGTCTCTGGGAATACAGATGTGCATCCCCATGCCTGAATAGTCCAGCATTTTAATAAAGATGAATATAATAGCAGAGCATGTGCAGATTAATAAAATATTTAATATAATGACTGCTACTACAAGAAAAACAAAACTTTCTGTATATTAAAAAAACTACCTTTTAAGACAAAAAAAAATCTAGTTTGACTA